CACTTTAACACTGGTAAATTGCTGTTATATCCTTTGGATTTTTTTTAAACCATTCAGTAAGAGGACAGTGAAATTGATACACGGGAAGAAAAGTAAAATCTTAGGGTAGGTGTTGAGGTATTTAATATTTATTATGGTTCCCCACCAGCATAGTTTCAGATGATTTAAACTCTCTCCTTAGGACTGTGTAAATTGGTCTAGGGATGAAATCTCACCTAGGGAATTTTATGTAATCCAGTAGTTAAGTCTGATTTTGTAAAGTTGCCCTGTGTCTGAGTGTTCCAAAGTGGCCGCTGCATTTCTGTAAAATGAAGGCTTAACTGCAGTGCACAATCTAAATGCAAAATCCTTCGATAGAAATTTAATTGTGTAAAATGTGCACCAGGTAATTAAGAACAAATTTTAGAACATTTCAGATGATAAAGGCCTCCTTCAGCTAGATCACTGTCTGTATTGAAAATACTTATTTTCAATTTTCAGTTATGCAGAGAAACATAGAATGTGTCTAAATTAAGAATAAAAAAAAAATCCAGTGTTCTTCAGTATAACTAAATTAAAAACCACTCCCACAACATGGTTAATGTTCTAAGCAGGAGACTTAATCACCAAAAACATGTCCTGAATTTGTGTCCTGCACTTGCCGTTTATGTTTTCTCTTTATCATTTATGATTTCACAACAATAATAATTCATATTGTCAGCAGAAGCCGCTTCTTGTTGCTTTGTGTTTAGATATCTTTTATTCTAACGTTTTGTTAAAAGGCAGTTTTCTATCATGCAGTTGTTATGTATTTGGCAATCGTTATAATTACATATATACATACACAGCTATATGTATATCTATATAGAGAGATATGTAGATATGTATACATACACTTTGTTATTTGAATTATTAAATCCAACATATTCAAATGCTGCTAGCTCAAGAGTATTTTTCATAGATTATGGTTAGACAAAATGAAGATCAGTAAGATGACACTAAGGAACAGCCCTAGTTTTACAGTGAAATGTTAGTGGTTTACTGTTATTTAAGTGTATTCCCAACGGATAAATGTTTTCCGAGCATTCTTTTTTTGCCTTTTATGTAGAAAATCGCCCCCACCAAACAGAGTATTCAGCAGTTTGCTGAATCTTAAGTATTTGGAATTAAAATGCACCTTTTTATTTAACATTAAATAGAATCCTCTCCCTCCCCCAACTCTACCCGCCACCTCCCAAAAAATAAATAAAGCTTCTCTAAATCTTCTAGAATGTGCGCCGATCCCCTCCTGGGGGTGAAAAGGACGTGAGAGCCATTTGATGTATTACTGGAGCTTATGTGTGTCCACATTTTGCAGTATACTTTTTTTTTTTCTAACTGGACTTAAGCTGCCTGTATTTAAATGCTTCTTTTGTAAAGATGATAAAGAGCAAAGATTTCTATTGGCTTAGCCCTAATCTGTTTGCTTTGTTGAGATTCTTTTTTATTTTTTTTTTCCGTCTTTACTTTAACTGTTAACCTATTTATAAATCTAAATCTACATACAAAGGTCATTGGTTGGCTGAACTTAAACCATTTTACTCAGTAAATTTAATTAAGAAAATACAGTGCAACTCATAAGCAAATGAGTTTTTTCCTAGTTTTAAACCAAACCACCCTCTTGAGTGCTGATTGCCTTGCCCGACCCCTGGTGATACAGAAACAGGCAAAATTAAAAAGGACATTAAAGCTTCATTAAATCTGAAACACATTTAGTACAGTGACATATCTGCAGGCCATTTCAGAGAAGATTACATACTCTCTTTTGTAAGTTTCCTAATTTATAATACCTTGACAATAAAAACTGGGGAAATGCAAGTAGATTAATAGACCAGTAGGGGTAAAAGATATAGAATGGCCCCGGGTTCACCTGTCTCTGAAATGTTCACTCATAGCATATGTGTTCCCTCTTCCCCATAAGGATTCTGTGTTTGTTTTGACTTTTGACAGCCTCATGAGGAACTTGTACTTCATGCAGCCATGCCTGCTAAGAGCCCTTTTCCTTTTTACCTTCTCTTAATAGAACTTGATAAAAGAGTTCTAGGGCCTGTCTATATATTCCCTTCTACTTTGCCACAAGACAGATAGTGTAGAAAATAAACACCACAGCTGCATTAGACCCAGAAGGACAAGGACATACTTTGAAGGTAGCCCTCTCTCCCGGGGCCTTAAAATGACTGCTTGCGGTGCCAGCTTAGTAGTGCCGCTGTGTTTTCACTGGTGCAGAGTTGGAACCCCTGGCCCACTGCTGGTGCTGCCCAGTGATGACACTCTGTGCGAGGAAGTGGTTGTCATACTGCTGGGGCAATGGTGCCCATGAGTCAAGGAGAAGGAACTATTGTCTGTTCTCCAACTCCAAAGAGGTCAGGTGTGCGAGATGTGTTAGAAGCCGTGTTCCCAGGAGCGAAGTTGACAGGTAGGACTGAGGTGCCACGGGATGTCAGCAAAGTACACAGAAAGCACAGTCAGCCCCAGGATGATGAGTTCACAAGTTCAAGCATTGCCACCTGTCCCCAAGCAGACTGGTACAGAGAGGCCCCCAGCTGAGCAACTTGCACTGAATTTTCTCTCTGTTCCTTTACATGGTGGTGTTTTACAGAGTAAATGAATGGTGTCAGCCATCCTTATTTACCTGGTGCCAGTTATGCCAGAGTGGATGGAGTAGAAGAATGCACATTCCCAAGTCAGCTGTAACCTGGCCTCTCTGTAGAAGAAAGATGATAACTTGACAGTTGGAGGCTTTGTGTTGAAGTGGGAAGAATTCACATTTTTCACTTGATCTCTTTCTCGCTTGCTGTCTCTCTCTTTTTAAGCCTCCAATTTATCATTGCTTAATTCTTTAAACTTCAAGAACCAGTGGCCAGTGCTAGCACCTGCCACCCAGTTTAGATCTTAATCATATGTGTGGTGGGCAGGTAAGCTCTGTGGACAAAATTCTTCCATGGTCCCTAATGGCATGTTCGACGTGTACCCAAGTAAATGGCATAATACCTGAAGAAGAACTTGAGAGAGAATGTTCTGAATGTTTTCTAGTAGTTATTAAACTATTTGTCTTTTCAGCGTGATGATGGTCTTTTGGTGAGCTGTCACTGCCTGTCAGGTCAGCACAGACTGGTGCAGACCCTTAGTCCACTAATTACTGCGCTGACAGAGCACAGTGATCCTCCCGAATCAATCCGTGTGCACACTTGCATTGGCCAGAAACAGAAACACACAGTATTTAAAAATATAGACCAAAACTCTGGCTTATATTGGGAGGGGTGGGCCGGGGGAGTGGATGGGAGAGCTGAGACCTCCTCCTTCCTAATTAATAACACCACATGGAAAACAAACATAATTTCACAAAACTCTGAAAGAAAATTTGGTTAACATCTCCCCTCTCTTTCCTTGAGATGTGTTTGCTGTTTATGCTTGGAGGGATTGACGATATCCACCAAATGAAATAATGATATTACAACTTTTTTATCTTGAAAATCAATGAAGTCTAAGTATACAAAATACAAGGTAATGAAACTTACGGGTATAACAGCATATATATATATACATACATATACACATACATGTATATACAGTCACACACACACACACACACATCCAAATGAGTATTGGGTCTTTCCGAATAGTCACCTTCAAGATCATATGGTTTATTCCTATGAAATTGCTGTTGCTCAACCTGGTTTTGGAACTTTCAAAATTAACCTCAGAACGTTCAGTAAGTAGCAAAATCTTTACCTTTTGTAGGTGGCTTTGGGTTTTGGCAGTACCCATAGACCATTCAAACCTTAGTCTACAGAAAATCTACATGATCAATAAGCTGAGGGGTATGATTTTAAGTCCAAAAGTAAGATGTAATTCTAATAAAGTAGTTCTTCTGTTACTTGAAATGATTCTAAACACAATTACATAAGAAGAATCAATGACTTTGGAATAAATGCACAACTTCTCAAGATCTAGAAAGGTGGTGTAATGTGCTGGAAGGAATACTGGATTAAACCACAAGTCTTAGGTTCAGTCCCTGTGGTACCACTGATTAACTGCGTGGGAACTCCTTCAGTGGGCCGTGAGTTCTAATCTGTAAAGTGGATTGATGGTCTCTTAGATCCATTCCAACTTAGTTTCCTGATGTTGTGACTCGACTTAAAGTAGTTACAAGTACATACAAAGGATTTCAGCCTGAGGATGGGCCACATTATAAAGTTGCAAATTTTTGCCGCTATTTTCTTTAAATAAGTTATGCTGTGTTTGTTAAATTTGATCTTATCACTTTATATCAAGTAATGTTCCCGACTGACTCATTTTGTTTCTACAGGTGAGAACCCAAAGACCAAAATTAAGTGACTGGCCCACAAACACATAGCAGTTTTCAAATCAAGTTAAACAGAAATTCTAAAGATCCAGTCTCCCAGTTTGACTTAGACTTAGAATTCCGACTTCACAGTCTTGAAATGGCCATTTTCCCACTAGTGGTGGTAGCTCTTTTCTAACAAATGGATGAAAATAGTGGCAAATTTTTCAGCTTTATACTATGGCCTCCCCCAAATCCTGAAACCTTTCATACACACTTATATTAAAAAGCTACAGTGCTACGGGCTGGGAACATCAGGTGTTCCCATTTTACAAGTGGAAAAGCCAACAGTCTCCTCCTACAGTTTTATATCGCTGTGTAGAAGAAACTGTCGCACACATGTAAATGTAAATAATGCCCATAGAGCTGAGAATAGTCCTAAGAGAAATCATGTAAGGATAATTTTTACTTGTTAAAATTAGAACATTTTTTCAGGGTTGCAATGTTGTCCATTGAAAATGTCCATTCTAAATACAGCTCTTAATGTAATTACAGCAATAATTTAGTTCATGCATTTGAGGTTGTGAGCCTTTTTATATTTGCTGGATACAGTTCTGAAATTTAATACTTGTCTGTCTTAAGGAGATCTGCCCTGCATGCAAATCTATAACTAGACAAATATTATTTCCTTTCCCAGCTTGCTCTTGGGAGGTTTCCATATCCTCAGGTAAGATTGTTCATTACTGCCGTTTGCCACTGTGACATTCATTCCTATGTATGAAGGTGCAGGGAGCAATTGTGAACATTTGAGCCACATACAAATACATCTGTCCTGTTAAATTGAAAAGTGATATCTTAAAAGAGTCATTTAGAATCTCTATTGATTTTTGATTTTTTTAAACTCCAGATTTTTTCCCTCTTTGTTAAAGGTTGAAAGCGATCATTGTGCTCCTTTGTGTGACATTGGGGACATTTTTCCTTACCCTGGCCCAGCACCATGTGCTCATATTGAGGTTGGAGGAGAGGCGCATCCTTTTCCTGATACAGTCTTTGAGCTTTTGGATTCAGTTAAAATTATTTGAATTAAAGGATTAAGATAGGTGTAAAAAAATCTAATCTAGGTCATTATTTTTACTAAGCAGATAGGCCCCCAGTTTTATGCAGGTGTGATTTGCAACATATTCTTTTTGAAAATTTTGCTTATTCCTATCCGCATTTCTAAGAAAACAAACTGTCCATTATATTAGTATTGTCAACTATAATCTTTGTAATTTCTTTAAGATTTGCATTACAGAAGGGTGCTAGCACTTAAAATATAAAGCTGTTTTGTGGTTCGAAAATGATTCCGTAGCTTGTGTGGGGAAATAAGTAAAATGTCTAGGGGGATGAAAAATGAACCGTTTGGCTGTTTTCTCTGGTTGGTGCTCACTGTTTTTCTGGCATCTTGGTCTGTACAGGCCAGAGTGCCTGGAGGCATGTCTGATTTAAAGGTGGTGTTGGTGTCTGCTCTTTAAGCATCTATTAACTTGCCATTATTATGCAAATAACTGTTGTATTACACATACTAATTTATGCATGGTTAGATTATGCAGATGCATCACAAACATGGTTATTGAATAATAGGATGGGGCTCATTCTCTCTACCATCTTTATAAGCTGTTTTAAACAAATTTTCCTGGCACTCATGTGGACATTTAAAGACCTTTCATTCACTGAAATGTATCTTTTGTATCCTTTTTTTTTTTACAATTAAAACTGTCATATAAGTAGAAGAGAAACCGTCCAACTTGTTAGGTTCAAGAGTGTTAGCTTCACTTTGAGAATTGGAGGCTTTTTTGTCGTAAGAGCTTGGCAGGCATGCTAGCATTTAGTGAGGTTTCAATGTATACAGCCTTGCTGCTTAGCTCTAGGTAGCCCATCAAATTAAAATCACATTTTCAGGATTTACAGCTCATTAGAATATTTATCTTAGTAAGCCTCTTATTCTGTCAGTAATTCTTAAACAATTCACTGTTGGGCTAATTTATGCAAACCCCTCAAATTTTGAAAATGAATAGACTGTATCTCCCAAGCAATATACGATTTCTCTCTCAAACAAGTCTTAGTAGAAAACTTATAAGTGATCTAATAAAGAATGCCAGAGTTTGCAATGTAGCTGTATTTTTGAGCTTCCTAATCTCTAGAGTAATTACTCGGTGAGATATGAGTGACGAGTCTAAGAAACGGATTGCCGTTGCATTTGACAGATGTAACATTTGAAGGCTTTTGCCAGGCTAGGGAAGAGAGTATATACCTTTGCAGTGTTGCTTTCGTGAATGTCTAAGTATACATTTCCTTGATCATTCGGGTGGAAGTTGGAAAATTCTAATATGCTGAACTCCCTGGCTGTCACTAACCTTTATGCCAGAGGTTGGAGGGGTTGGAGGGCTATTTTCCTTGAATCCTGATAGAATGTTGTCACCAAATTGAGATTTTTATTTCAAAAATAGAAGCAGAGCAGCTTTGATGTCATCGGGCCTATTTCCCAGATCTTTCAACAAAAGTTTGTGTGCTTCATTGCTGGAATCGATAATGACTTTGGTGGGCTTGGCATTTATTTTACAGGCTTTGTGCTACAGACTGGAGTCCTGGTGGTACAGTGGTTAAGAGCTCGGCTGCTAACCTAAAAGTTGACAGTTCGAATCCACCAGCCGCTCTTTGGAAACCTTATGGGGCGGTTCTGCTCTGTCCTTTAGGGTTGCTGTAAGTCAGAATCAACTCAATGGCAACGGGTTTGGTTTTTTGGTTTGGTACTACAGACTGAGGGTTTGGAAAGGATACTTCATCAATTCCTTTCCTGCCCTTTCCTCCACCCCACCCTCAAAGAAAAAGCACACGAAGAATATATATTTTTATACTGAATTTTAGACTGAATTATGAAATAATTCCTTCTCATTGGCCCATATATCTCATTTGAACATCCAAACACTCTGTGAGGTAGGGCTCTCTCATAAATGGGCAAACAGAATGACTGATTAGCTCATTGTTGAACTGCAGCTGGTTTGGTTCCATTGAAATCCCAAGTGGAGTAGACAGGAGTGAATCATAGACTCTTAGGGTTGAAAGTAATCTCAAACATCATTGAATCAAACTGACCTACGATATCCCTGAAAAACGCACATCTATACTCTGCTGGAACACCTCCGGTGACAAGAAACTCACTGGTTCAAAGCAATCACAGTATTAGAGCAATGTTCTGTTCACTGAGCTGGGGACTGTCACATCCTAATTATCACCTACTGGTGTAGTCCTGAGTACATGAAAACTTTTCATATATCCTTCCGATCACATAGTTTTGAATCCTCCCAGCACTCAGGCCTAAGGACAGTGTCAGGGCATTGTTGGCTCTGAATTCAAAAATCAAAATCAGGGTGCCAGATTTGAGATCTCTTCATTAGTGGCAAGTTGAGAAAACATGTGGCCTACTAGAAAGAGCTCTGGACCAGGAGCCTGAAGATTGGAATTTGAACCCAGCTCTCCACAAACTCTCTGGTCACCTCAGGCCTTAATTCTTGATTCTTAACTCCTCAAGTCCTCAGTTTCCTCATTTCTAAAAGTGGGGATCCTGATATCTGCCCTTCCTCTCTGATTAGAAGAGGTATGTAGATCAAATGAGATTACAGATATGGAATTACTTGGACAAGTACAAAGGACCACTCCACTGGCCCTAATGTTGAGCTACAGCAAAAATCAGAACTTCCAACTGTCAGCCAAAGGAGAGCCTTTGTGAAAGGTTGTGCTCACCCACCTGCCAGCTGCAACTGGAGCAGGGGTAAAGTAAGCAGAGAAGAGAGCGGGAGGAGAGGCCAGCTTCCGGACTCGTCCTTCCCTCAGCCCGGCATCAGTGCTGCTGACAGCGTCATTAGCAGCACCTCTTCCTGCCGGTGACACCGTGTGTATCGGGTGGAAGTACAGATGAGTGAGGGGTGTTGGGAAGATACTAGGGAGAGTCAGTGGCCCGGGACCAACATAAAGGTTAAAGGCTAGGTTTTTGTTGAGCTAATCATTCTATATGAATTTCATTGTTTTGTGGGTTGGGTTTTTATTTGTAATTTGAAAGCACTATCCATTTTCATTTCCTTTAAGGCATTAGGTTTGCATAGCCTCATTGCCATGCAGTTTAGGACTCTATTAAAAAAAAAAAAGAAAAAGGTTAGGGGCCACTATAAATGCAGTCTTATTACCATGGCTTATAATAGGAAGAACAGTGATGTTTTGGATTTGTCTAGCACCTTTCCTACATGGAACTCCAGAGCCCTTTCGTTTTCATTTTCTGACTCAGGCTTTCCATCCCACCTGTGCGGACTATAACTTCCTGACTCCAGGTGAGCAGACTGAGGCTCAGAGGGGAGCAGCCCCTTGCCTTGGGGAGATGTGGGTACAGTTAGGTCTAGGGCTTGCAGGCAACTAGACCAAATGACTGGCCCTGTGTGTTCTTCATTTGGTTGACTCTTTGTACCAATGTTCACCTTCCCTCGCAGCCCCACCAGCCTCTAAAGTTTGCCTTCTCTGCCCTGGGGAGGCCTCTTGCGTAGATGAGAAATGCTGAGTGTCGGAAGGTGGTGCCATTGTAGATGATGATCAGACCATTCCCTAAAGCCCTTCTGCTTTTCTGATCGTGTGCTTACCAGAGTGATGGGGATTCCGAGGGTCTCAGACCCCAGTGCCATTAATTTCTGGGTGCCTGTACAGCATATTCTGGAATGGGATAAGGAAACATTTCCTTTTTAAGCATCGTGCACATGGTATCTCCATTACTTGAACAATTTAGCTTTAATAGTAATCTGAGATGTGCAGGTCTGAATGAGGACTGGAGCTGCATCTAGTTAATCATGTAGATCCAAATTCAGTTGACTTAAAAAATATGATGGTGGGCAATGGCTTGTTTAATGACACCATAATTCAGGCAAAATGAAAAGGATTGCGTGCTAAAACTCAACCATCCTTCATTCAAACTGTACAGCAGTGCACTGCATTCGGATGGTAGTAAATCCATTAAGGAGACTTCTCAGGGGATGTGCCAGCTCTGGTATTTGGAAATTTGGTAAGCAAGATGCCACAGGAAAGTGAAGATAATACAGACACAAATGTATTTAAAGTACTTTTGCATGTATAAAAATGTTTTTCTTCTTTTGGCTACAATTCCTGATCTTGGTTAATAAATTACATCAAAATGACCTGAAGTTAAAAAAAGGGAAAAAATCTGAGCAAATAGTGCCCCCGGTATTGTAAAGCTTTGAATGTTTTCACACCCCATTAATTTATTACTTCTCTTTCTTCATCTCTAAATTTCTTTTTTTTTTTCCGAAAATTCCGACTCCCCACTGCTGCAGTGATTTTCATCTTGTTGTTATTTTCCCTGCTCCATATGGAGCTCCAGACATTTCACCTGGAGGCTGTACTAGATTTCGCTGTAGTGATGGTACTTCCGGAGGCCAAAACTGTCATTTAGGGTTCCTGGTGCATCTGTCTGCGCCAGGCTTTTCACTGGCGTGGGAGAGTGTGAATAACAAATTGGATGCACCTGAGATTCGGATGATTGGTGTGTTTTGTGAATCTCCACGACTTGTAAGCAGATAACTCGGGGGCGGGGGGGGTGCTAAACAGCAACTGTGGGTGAATCTGTACTCACACCTTACATTTGGGGCTTTGCAAGGGCCTTGCAAACATCCTAGGCAAGCTGAGTGC